CCCTAGTGGATCCCGGGCATCCAATACGTAAAGGACCACATCCGAACTATCAATCACTTTGTAAAGCTCATTCCAAATACGGTTGGATTGACCTTTTGTAAACAAAATCCGATTTTTGGAACGATCATCACGCAGAGTTTCTTCCTTATTGACAAGATTACGATCCGCTCCTTTTTTCTCCGTTGAGTACTCATCGCCTTTTAATACGGCCCTCTTCGCAAAGCTCTCCATATCAACGGAATCTAGGCGAACTCGTTTTCGATTAGCCTTATCTCCAAAGGTTTTGCTCCACTCCATCTGCTGACGAACACATCCCTCATCCGCCCCGCTTGGCTCAAGAAGACTTAACGGAAGTTTAGATTGCTTAATAATAATACTGTAAGGATCCCTGTATTTTGCACCCATTTCCTTCCGAAAAGTTTGCAGGGCTTCTTGACCAATAACTCTGGTGTTACCGAACCAACGACGATCAGGTGCAACACGAACCATTTGTTGCTCAATGCGGTCCGAGGCCTTTAAGACACTCCCCTTTACAATATGACCCTTGTCATCGCGTACAATCTTGGATTTGTACATTTTTAAGCGTTTAATGGTCCGCTGATCACGCAAGCTGGTTTTGTTGGCATCGACACGACGATTCACATTGGTAGGCGGGAGCAACCCCTTTCCAGCCTTTTTCCCAGGTTTGCCCATTTTTTCCCTCCTTTTTACTTAACTACTTCAAAAAAAAAAGACCTTAACTTTTTTTTTTACCCGCTTATATACATATATATACATGTGTGTATTTATCAAACAAATATGGTGAAAATGAAAGTGTAGCAGTACAGAGAACGCCATTGAGATGATCTGTCGTGGATCGCATCTATAAAAACAGTACCGTGAAGGGAATAATAATATGAACAAATAATGAAGCAGCAAGCTTTCAACACGACGCATCATTATGTTACTTCCTTACAACCGGTTCAATAGCCTCATTTAGCCAAGGATACCGTGTTGTTGCCTTTTCAATATCCTCTGGTTCCACTTCCTCATCGGCCGGTATTCCCATAATCTTCTGAATGATCTCTGTATCCTCTTCATTGCGAAGCTTGCAGCTGAGGCCGACACAAAGAAAGTCGTGGAGACCTTTCATATTAAATTTTTCTGCTGCGTTTATGGTCTGAAGATAGTGCCCAATATTTAGTTCACTGGTAAGACGAAAGACGAAAAAACCATTATCCCATTTGTTCTTCAAAACATGAAGAATATTTCGGTAAATACATGGTCTTACAATTTCGCTTTCGGCAACACCATCCATGCCATAGTGTTCCGTCCAACAGACAAGATTTTCAAGAACAGCTGCAGGGTAGTCAAATTCAGGAATTGTCTCGTCGTCGGTCTTTTCAATAAAAGTGCATTTCTCAGAAACCTCCCTTGGCACTTCCACGTATTTCCCATCGCTGCAGTGAACAACTGTGTGTAAGGCGCGATCAACATTAGAAGTGTTATAAAGAATACGTGCACAAGATGAGAACGAGGCCATTTTTCTTTTTAATATAAAACAATTTTGTTTTCTTTTTGACTATAGGCAAGAAGAAAATAGGAAAAGACGGTATAGAAGTAATTGAGAAAAAATATTCGTGCATCCACAACAATTAACAGGCTGATCACACAGCGGACAAAAAAAATTGAATTACATACATAACCCAAGATCAATCTTGCTTCAAAATTAGCTAGAAAGTCGTTTTTTTTAAAACTTTCATAGTGAAAACAAAGCACAGCGCAATAGAGAAATAATAATAGCAATAACACTCAAAGCGCCACACTTTGCAGACAACCAATAAAAAAAAAGAGCAAAAATTGGCAAACAAAATTAAGAAACATGGATAAAAAAAATTAAAAATACATACGAAAAAAGACAGACAAAGAAGGGGAAAATACAACAAAAGAAGAACTAAAACTCTACCACGTCGACTTTTTTTTTCATATCCACCGGAACAATTCACTGCGACTCACTTTTCGCCTCCGCGCAGTGTCCGCCACAGGTGACGCCTGCCCCATGACCTGTTTCCTCACGCCGATGCCGACCGCGCCGCCAACACCCCCCAATTCCTCGTCCTCCTTCGCCGGAAGAAACGTCAACCCACGGGAATGGCCCTTTCTTTTTCCACCCCCACGGCG